GAAGATATTTAAAGAACATGTACATAGAATGAGTCTTGGCTGTATTTATGATTGATGTATTTATGATGTTTTGACACTCTGAGCTCATTTATATGTTTCTGATATACATTAATGATCTCCTGTTTCTCATAATGGTGTACACATTATTGTTTTGAGATATTACAGGATTAGTCTGAATGAGATATTATTGTGGACCATAATATTTTATAGCTTATGGACTTGATACGATGAGTTGCTAATGTTGTAGTATATGGAAGGGAGTATTTAGATGAATTATATATAACCGCCATAACTCACATTTAGTAGTTTATCGTATTATGGTATTTATGATGGACATTATAGAAGAGATTTGTTTATGTGCAACTAATGTTCCTATATTAAATATTAATATTATGTGATTATTGGGCCAAGTAGGAGAATGTAAGTTATTTTTCCTATGCATATGTGGCCCAATAGGTTAAGGCCCATAATTAATATTTAATTAATTATCAAATCTCATCCGTCCGATTGGTTACTTGATGGACGAACCAGATTAAGTGAGAACCTCTATAAATTGGTCCTCTCTCCACCCATTAGGGTTACCGTATTTTTTTTATTTTCTTTCTTCCATCACTAAAGTCGGCGGTAACGTAAAGTTAGGGCAAGGGGCGAGAAACCTATTTCAATCAACGCTTCCGCTTCACGATAATGGATTCCGCTTCAGGTATGTTTTCTATAACGATTATATGTAAGATTATCATGTTCAAGATCCTGGTATGAATTAAAGTTTATGATTACAATAACAACTTAAGAAAATAAGAATTTAAAACATAGGTATTGCACTATTGAATACTTCGAGGAATTCTGCCTCAACCACCCACCATTTCCTTCTCCTTCACATTTCAGTTGTGCACCTTGTTTGGCTTTAATTCAACAACAACAATAACTCTCAACCGACAAAAAATCATATATCCTCCTCACCGATCAATGTCCACAATTTGATATGCTTTCAATAGTTATTGAGCTAAGAAAGTAAATTTCAGTTAACATTTGCAATACAAATACAACTATAATTTTCCTTGAAAGGCAGAAACAGCTCTACTTGATATTCTCATTAATTAGCATAATTCTTATTTGAGAGTTCATTTCTTGGTAACATAACATTTAGTAGTCCATTAGCAAACTCGAATGCCTTAACCAAGTTAATCAGTTTTAGAAAATCAAGAAAGATTTAACTTCAAATGGATCGAGGGTCAATTGATTAAAGGAAAAAGTACTAATCTTGAATTGTTAGTACTTTTACCAAAAGGTATTCCAGAATGAAAGTGCTTTTTTAGACTTTCAAACTGTTCCCGTGACCAGACTTGTAAATTGCATTCCAAGAAGGATTTATAGAATTGATCCGGCAGATATATCTGATTCTATTTGTAAAAGACTCATATGGTGGATAAAGTTGTTGAAACATGTTTAGTCTGAGTGTTATCTCATAGCTCTAAGATAAGTTGTCATGGAAGAAAAATTATGACCTTAAAAAACAGTAATGGAGATGCACTAAGCATTGGAGCAGATACACCCGGGGGCAGATCCAGCGTAGCGGTACCGGTTTCATCTGAACCCAATACTTTCGACCCGGAGCATAAATTTATATATAAAAATTATCTAAAATAGGAACAAATAGCATATATAAACACATAACTTTAACAATATAATGAGTATGAACCCATAGAATTCAAATCCTTGATCCGCCTCTGAATACACCTAAGACATTATCGGCAGAAGGTTCATTGCAATACATTAGTTAGAATATGATTTGAAAGAGAGTAGTACTTGCATATGCCTAAATTCCAACCAAAACTCAAGCAGCAGTCAAGAAGTTTTAACAAATAGTTAAAATAATACCTTATCTGTCATTATTTATACAGAAATTGTTAGATGAAAACTCAAAGTCTCACAAATTGAACGACAACATATCAAAAATATGTAAACTTACTCTGAAAGGGGAAAAAAAGCATTCAGATAAGAAAAACACACATCACAAGAAGTACGAAAAATTTCCTTGGAAAAATCTCAGTGGCACAATGACTAAAAGCACAACATCACAATAATAAAAAGAAAATATTTCGGTGAAAAAACATATGTGTAACAGCTGTTCTCGAGTTTACAATTCCAGTTTTCTTCAACTTCTCCATACTTTATCCGAAGAGATCTTTACTGTTCAAAATAAATTTGAAACAACAATCAAAATACCAGCAAATCCCCACTTGTGGGATTATACTGGGCCGTTGTTATTGTTGTTATTGTTGTTGTTGTTGTTGTTGTTGTAATTAGAATACCAACAAAAGAGATTAAACTAAGATTATAATCTATCAATTTTTTGCCTTCATAAGTTGAAACCCCCAATTCCTATTTATTCTCACTTGAGCATATCTCATAGGTTAATAGAAGAACTAAGTTTGATTCTTCCAGAGCACCATTATTCGAATCCAACCTATAAACACTAACAAACGAAGCAAAGCTAATAAATATAATACAAATGAACTTTAGCCCGATACAAAAATTCAAAATCAATCAAAATTTACAACATACGTAATTAAATAAAATATCTGCATAAATACATCAAATTAAAGGAGGAATCAAGCAATTGAAAGCTAGAGGAGATTTACGTTGGCCGACGGGGAGAACAAAGGAAGAGATAGATATTTAACTGGCGAAAGAAGAAGAAGAAACAATTGAAGAGAGGTGTCGTAACGGAAGAGGAAGTGAAGCGACGTGTGAAAGTAATTAGAGGAAAATCCACAATTATTAAGATTATTATAAAAGGCAACTTTTGAATTTTTGTTAAAGCAGTTAAAAGGAAAAATCTGGAGAAAAGGAAAATGTAGAAAATCGAGATTCCTGGGCAATGAGAGGTGACATGTAAGCGGACTTATCTCCCTACTTTATAATGGTAACAAAAAAATTCAAAGTTATAAAAAAAAAATACGTCACCAATGCTTCAATCGAAAGGAGATGCATTTCCCAAATGATTTAGCCATAAAGCACGGTGGAAAAATATTAAAAATATTGGTATTTGTAAAATTAATTATTCCTCTTGGTTTAATTCTCAACTTGGGTTTAGGGTTAGTTTGAGAGTCTAAAAGTGAGTGAAGACTGGAGAGGGATAAAGGATGAAGAGTAAGAATGGTTTAACGTGAGTCGAAGAGTTTTATCCTCTTTTTATTGACATGGAATATTAATCTTGGATTAGGCATTTTAAATTGAAGTAAATGAAAAAATAAAAGAAAAAAAGTAAAATGAAAATTATCTGATACCAAATAATAGAACTGACCGAAAAGCGAACCCTCACGGAAAATTATTTACAAATTAGTGAGAAGTCAGAACAATATCATTATATATACCCTATAATAGGGGTGTTCATAAAAATCCGAAAACCCGAACCAAACCGAAAACCAAACCAAACCGACCAAAAAAAAGATACTTTTTGGTTTGGTTTAGTTTTGGTTTTGAAATTTAAAAACCGATCAAATTTGGTTTGATTTTGGTTTTAATAAAAAAAAACGAACCAAACCAAATATAGGAGTAGCTATTTTAAATTTATTTATTACACCTATATATATGTATACTTTTATACAAAGTTTCAAAAATTATATAGTAAATGTTAATCGTTTGCACTTTTAGTACACGTCTTTACCTTTACATTCTAGTTTGATTGGTAGTTTTCTTTTGTTATGTGTAAGAATCTATTTCGTGTTAAACATAATATATTTTTAATTGAGTCCTTAAATTTATCATCACTATTTGATTCAATTATCATCAATATATCTTGGTAAATAATAGATTTCTCAAAGGGCAATTGATTTGATAGTGTTAAATTGAAAATGTGGTCGCCGAAATATGTGTTTGGTAGTGTATATCTTATATTTAAGAAAAAACCGACAAATAACCGAAAAAACCGACAAATAACCGAAAAACCGACATAAACTGAATCAAGAAAAAACCGACTTAATTGGTTTGGTTTGGTTCTAATATTTGAAAAACCGACTTACTTGGTTTGATTTCTTTTTAGGGAAAAACCAATCCAAACCCAACCATGACCCCCTGCCCTATAATAGTTACTAAATATTTTCAGCAATGACTAACCCTCTGGCCTCTGTCTGCTTCATCCTTTCTGAAATGAAGAAACACCGAAAACGCCTCATTCTCTGCCTGCAATTGATTTCCTAACATTCAATAAATTACTGCAATTGATTTCGTAAATGCTAACCACTCCAAAATGCCTTATATCAGATAAGTTCATCAATGATAAAGATCATATCAATTATCAAGTTAGAGGCAGTTAGCATTGAAGTGTTCACGATTCTAACTAATAATTGACCAACCATAATAAACATCAACGAAACATGAAACAGAACTAATTAATCTCAAAACAAAAAAAAAGGATTTACCTGGGGAATTTTGGAAAAAGAAGACGAAGAGAGATAGAATTTCATCTAGCAAAAGGAAGAAGGAATAGGAAAAGAGCAAGGTTGCAACAAAAAAAAATGGGCCTTTGCTGTGGAATAATGGATGAGGCATAATTAAGATGATTATTAAAAGTGTCTTTTTCGATTAAGATAACTTTTAAAAGTGACTTTTCAATTTTTAAATAGATTACTTAATAAAGAAAAATGACAGAAATTTTAAAAAAAGATAAATAGTAATTCTAGTTTCTAAGAGGTGCCACATCATCATCTGTTGTCCCTCTTTTACGTAGAAATCTGATGAAGGATCTCCGTATATAATAGAATAATAAATTTAATTTGAAAAAAGTAGGTCAACCCTGGTGAAGAATGGGTTATAATTAATATGATTCTAGTCTATTCTATAGAAATAATAAATTTAATTTAATGGAGCATAAAAAGATAAGCCTTTGTCAGCTTGCCGCCAAGAATACGTGGACAATATCATCTCTAGCCAGCCTAGCCTGTACAGTATTACAGTAGTATATATGTTGTCGTGTGTACGACTAATTGACCATAAAACTCACAGCTATCATCTTAATAATAATTCCTCTAGAACAAAGGGAGAAATTAAGAGTTTGAGAAAATGGGAAATGTATTTGCAGTGATAAAGCCAATAATTCATATGGTATTGAAAGCTATGGGAATGACATCCCAAATGGTGGAAATAGAACCAGGAACTATCATGCATTTTTGGGTTCCAACTGAAACCATTCATTGCCATAACCCAAACAATAAATTACCAAATTATAAACCTAAGCCTGCTGTTGTATTTGTTCATGGATTTGTTTCCAATGGAATTATGACTTGGCTTTTACAAGTGCTTTCCTTAAGAATTTCAGGTGCTGATTTTGCTATCTACGTTCCTGACCTACTTTTCTTTGGAGATTCCTTCACTGATCGTCCTGAAAGGTCAACGAGTTTTCAGGTACTAAATTCGCGTGATCACCTCATCCGAAAGTTAAATTGCAGGATCGATTTCTAATTTTCTTTTTCATGGAACAAATACGTGAAAGTAGGCAAAATGTTTAGTGGTATACTAGGTAAGATAAAAGTAGAAATGTTGTTATTCGGAACAAGGTGTGTGGCCCTTGTGGAGGACAAGATGTCGGAAGGAAGACTTAGATAGTTAGGACATGTGAAGAGGAGATATACTGATGCTCAGGCGAGGAGGTGTGAGAAGCTGACGTGGGAGGGCGAACGGAGAGGTAGAGGCAGGCCGAAAAAGTATGGGGAGGGTGATTAGACAAATATGGCGTTGCTCCAGCTCACTAAAGATATGACCATGGATAGGAAGGTATGGAGATTGAGAATAAAGGTCGAGGGTTAGGTGGTCGAGTGTTATCCTTGTTTGTAGCAGTAGCTTTGACACACCACTTGGTGCCTTCCTTTTTTTTTTTTCTACTTTTGTTTTCTTTCCCCGTACCCCTAGTCTTCTGTTACTACTTGTTGTCTTCTTGTGTTTCGGTTTTTTGAATGCATTACCTTTTGTTAGTTTTGTATTTTACTTTAGTTGTCAGATCGGTTTGCTTGTTATTGTCCCTCCCCTCCCCCTTCATGAGCCGAGAGTCTTTCGGAAACAGTCTCTTTGTCTTTATAAAGGCAGGCGTAAGGTCTGCATACACTCTAACCACCCCAGACCCCACTTATGAGATTACACTGAATATGTTGTTGCCGTAGGCAGAATGTTTAGCAAAGGGAATGATGAAGCTTGGAGTGGAAAAGTTCTCTCTGGTTGGATTTAGTTATGGAGGAATGGTTGCGTTCAAGTTGGCTCAATTGTATCCTCACATGGTTGAGTCTATGATTATGTCAAGTACGGTTATTGAGTTGACTGAGTATATTAGCAATGCTTCGTTGAAGAATATTGGGTTCACAAATTGGCCTGATTTTCTTTTGCCCAAAACCATCTCTGGTCTCAAAGTATTGCTATCTATTGGTAGTCATAAGTTCCCATGGTTTCCTGAATTTTTCTTCAGTGATTTTCTTGAGGTACGTTCCTTTTTAACTGACAACTCAGCTTCTATATACTGATAATTATGCCATCTCATCTAAAAATTCACGTGAAATTTATTGAGACTTAAATCTAAAATCTCTTTGTGTGTTGATACCATGTGGAATAAGGTGACCTACTCGTTTAAAAAATTAAGTTGATAAATAACACACTTTTAATTACTTAATTATATACATCTCAAAAAATGAGCTAAATGATTGTAAAAATTATGGTAAGCTACGTGATTCTGTCTGATGGTCAATGACATGCATGTAGGTACTGTTCTCTTTTTTAATTGACTATAATATAATTTTTTAAATTAATCAGTGCATTTTTCCTATGGTTCTGTATTTTTTTCAACTCTCTAAGATGAAATGTTTTCTTCATTTTCAATGCCATAAGAGATTTCAGGCACCTGCTTTTACGGCTGGGACAGAGAAATCAAACAGTGACTCTCTCAATAATTATTGAGCCACTCTATTTTTTAATCTCAACCGTTATGTCCATAAATTATATCAAGTCATATGTGAACAAATAAATTTAAACGAGGGGAAGTGGTAAAAGCAGCCCTAAAAGATTAAAATTCAAGAGTCAAGTCAAAACTGGATGTAAAAAAAATGTCAAACGTGGACAAATAACTTTATTTGGTGTATAAAGTACTAACTACATCTCTTAATCTGATTTATCGTTAAAGATACATGAACCAAACAAACCATAAAAATAACTGAATGGAATAATTTTGCGTCTCATCAACATGTAAGAACGACTATTATAATAAGGAATAGAAAACGAAAGGAGGACGAAAAAATGTGATACGAGTTGGTGTAAACACTTGGTGCATGTAAGTTTTTACCGTCGATGTAGTGTTACTATATATCTTTTGATATTTCTCTTGGGAGAGTGTATATAAATTTCTTGTGTACAAATTCTTTATATTAATTAGCAGTATTTATAAATTAAATTTGCATTTTTATACCATGATTTTAATAACAAAATGCTGTAAAAGCAGGTTATGTTTACCAATAGAAAGGAGAAAGCCGAACTTCTTGAAGCTTTAGTAGTCAGTGACAAAGACGCTATTATTACCCCTAACTACTCCCAGGTAATTCCAACCTTCTCTTCGTCTTGTTTTTGTTACGCACACAATGACCAGATTGAGAAGAAATCACCTAAGTTCTTTAATTTATTTGTCTATTTAATATTTGAATATTGATCTTTCGTGGTTCTCATATTTTTTTATTGACCTCAAGTCATTCCATTATTCATTTTCTCTCTCCAATTTTGGATTCTTAGAGCACATTATTAACAAAACTTCTTGAATGTTGGTAAATTACCCACAAATCATAAGTCAATCTCATACCGAGTAAATAAAGAATCAGTTTTTAGCCAATTACTTAGTAAAGGGATCTTGAAAGACTTTAAAGGAAAAAAACGATAAAAAAGAAGTAAACTAGATATTGATAATAGTATTCTTTGAGTCTATACAAACTTCCAAAACTAGGGTAATAGTTTACTAATAACTTTGTTTACTCTTTCACGCAGAGGATTTACCTTTTATGTGGAGACGACGACAAAATTTTTAATACGGCAGTGTCTGATAACATGAAACAGTAAGTTCCTAGCTGCAGAGCAATTTTGGAATTCAAAATTAATGCTTTTATTGATCAAATTTATCGAATATCTAATTTTGGTTACAATAATGAGTGCAGGAAGTTGGGAGAAAATGTGACAATCGATTACATAAAAAAGGCAGGACATCTTGTTCAGTTGGAGCGACCCTGCTCTTACAATCATTATCTCAAAAAATTTCTTTCCTACTCATGATAATTATGGCGGAGCCAAAAATTTCGCAAAAAATTTCAAGGTTTAATATATATTTATTAAAAGCTATTTTGATTTTGTATGCGGGTAAAATCGAGGATAATGCATACCCCGATTTCCCCGTGAAGAAAACAAAAGAAGGTCATGGATGCACAAGATTGGAATCGAGGTTGGGAGCCCTTCGTATCGAAATGTGAATGATGTGTTCATCATCGGGCATGATAAAGCGAAGCTCCCCAGACCCAGAACGAGTTCTAAAACCTCGGAAAAAACGGTAAACGGCTACACATGACGGGTAAAGGGACGTGATATTCGTACCTAACCAGATATCACGATGCAGATCTCGCTCAATATCGGTTACGGATCAGTAATTAACGAGAAAGGAAGATTTTTAGCTTTTTTAGACTTGTACTAGGGATGAAACACCCCTACTATATAAAGGGAAAGTTTTTCTTTTGTAAGACACATTAGAACATGCCAATCAAAGTAATATAAATTTATTTTTTGCTTTCTAGTTACTGCAAATGTTCTTATTTAATTGATATGTTCTTCGTGTACAACTGGGCTCGAACCAAAGGTCCAATCGAGGGCAAAATTACTGTTCAACCTAGGTTCGGGCTAGGCATAACATTACAACTGGTTTGATTGTTTATTTTGTCTTTAACTCGTTTATCTAGTATTCTTGATTATTTGTGTTAAATCAATCCACGTATCCTTAAAATCGTATAAAAATTTAATTGTTATCCGATTTAAGGGTAAACAATATGGCGCCACCGTGGAACTAAGGATAATAGTGGTGTTTTGATACAAATCTCCATAACACACCCTACTTTATGCTTTTTCTTTAAATCTTAATTTCAGGTTAGCCCAAAAATTTCGAACTCTCAGTCTGCTCACTTGAACGTTGAAAATAAGTCTGGTCATAACGAAAATAATAATTTTGTGCCTGGCAACGAGATGCCTCCTTCTAATCCCAACGGTGTCCCAGTTGTCGATCCGATCGATGCTAACTCGCAGGTGGCCATTAGGGGTGGGCATAAAATCCGAAAAATCGAATTCCGAACCGAACCGAATTAATTTGGTATTTCAGTTTCGGATTTTTCGGTACAGAAATTTCGGTATTTCAGTAATTCGGTATGGTACACGACATTGGATTATTGATATTTCGGTATTTCGGTTATACCGAAAAACCGAAATAATTTAATACGTTTTGGTGATTTGTTGCCCCTGCTCTCTAGTTTTTACCATCAAGTTTTATACTTCGTCCTCTTATCTCCTAAGATAAATATAAGTGACCCATCCCTGACTAAAGTTTTGCATGCCCTTTTTAATTTGTTTTTTTTTCTTTTTCTAACAAAGAACCAATGACACACGTTAGTTTTCTTCCCAACACTATCAATAAGGATATCTAGTCTAACAAAACGGTAGTGCCTTTAGCCAAATAGAGATTCACTTTGTTATACTGCAAATACGTTACTCAAGAGTTTATCAAATGTCTATAACAAATTGAAGTCGGTTTGACGGATCACTAGTGCAAATCTCGTCGATTGAAGAATCTTCAGAATGAGTGAATCCCCTCAATATAATCTGTAAACAATACAATGCTGGGAACAGGAAAATAATTAAAAGGGAAGACAAATGTTGACAAGTAACAGAGAGCAACGACGAACTTTCTGTTGCTTTCTTTCTTTTTGTTTGTTCTCTTCCCCTGTTGGCGCCAGATTTTGCTAGTTAATGGAGATTGGAGGGGGAGACCGTGAAGATTTGGTTTAAACCGAAACCGTACCGAAATAGTACCGAACCAAAATAAGAAATACCGAACCGTACCAAAATATTATGGTACGGTGTTTGGTATATACAATTGATAAACCGAATACCAAAATACCGAACCTAAATTCTTAAATACCGAACCGAAATACCAAATTCCCACCCCTAGTGGCCATCAACGTTAATTTGCCAATTAATCCCGAAAACAGTGTTCGCGAGGACCCCGACAAATAACTCGAGAAGCGCCGAAGACGAAGATGATGGGGTAAGCATGCGGTTAATCTTTGAAATATTGCAGGCTCAACAGGCGGAAATAGTGCAGTTATAGAATCAAGGCTATGCCCCCGGTAGGGTCGAGCCCGAACAATCCCGGGAAAGCACCCGAAGAAACGAACAAATCACCGAGAGACCGGGTGAAACCGAGCCTTCGGTCAACCCCGAGATGATGAAAATGCTTGAAGTATTAACGAAGCGGGTGAAGTCAGGTGAGAATAAAATTGAGTCTAATGACAAGAAAGTGAAAACAAAAAATTCCAGAGTCGATCAAATCTCGAGAGCACCCCCGTTATTGAAGGGGTTGGATTCTAAGAAATTTATCCAGAAGCTTTTTCCTCCCAGCGCGGCACCGAAGTCAATCCCGAAGAGGTTTCGTATGCATGATATCCCCAAGGATCCAAATGAGTATGTGACCTCCTATACGTGCACATTCAAGGGGAACGACTTGGAAGACGATGAAATCAAGTCGGTGTTGCTGAAGAAGTTTGGGAAGACTTTGTCCAAAGGAGAAATGATATTGTATCACAACTTACCCCCAAATTCCATTGAATCTTTTGCTATGCTTGCAGATGCTTTCGTAAAAGCCCATGTCGGGGCCATTAAGGTCGATACCAAAAAGTAAGACCTTTTCAAGGTTAAACAAAGAGACAACGAGATGCTCCGGGAGTTCGTGTCAAGGTTCCATATGGAACGGATGGACCTCCATTTGATTGTAGATGATTGGGTCGTCCAGACATTCACTCGGGGGCTTAATCCCCGAAGTTCTTTGGCCTCTTAACAGTTAAAACAAAATCGGATAGAGTACCTGGTGGTGACCTAGGCCGACACCCACAACAGATACCAGTTAAAGATCAGGATCGAGGACGACCAACTCGGAGCTCCTTATGGGTCTGTTTACCCCATCATGGTCGATGAAAGGTCTAAGAGAGTCGTTGATCATGAGCCAAGACCAGTCCGGGATTGATACCAACCATACAATGCGGACTGAAGGGGGAAATAGGTCCGGGCGTCACCCTATAAGAAACAAGAAGATAAGCGATCGAGGACCTAGTAGACAAGGTCTGATGAGTAAAAATGCTTTCGACAGGCCGTTCGAGGATTGGGAAGCACAAAGATTATCAGAGTATAACTTCAACATTGATGCTACCAGCATCGTGTCAGCCATCGGGTGCATCAAAGAGACCAAGTGGCCCAGACCATTGTAGTCCGACCCTACCCAAAGAGATCCTAACTTGATGTGTAAGTATCACGACACTAATGGTCACAGGACCGAGGATTGTCGATAATTGAGAGAAGAATTTGCCCGGTTGTTCAACAACGGGCACCTCCAAATTTTTGAGTGATCGAGCCAAAAAACCACTCTAGGAACAAGGACGACAACAAACAGGACGAACAAGAAGAGCCTCATCACGTCATCAACATGATCATCATGGGGGTCGATGTCCCCTAAAGTCCAATGATAGAGCGCACTAAAGTATCTATCACAAGGGAAAAATGCACCTGAGATTATGTCCCTGACGGAACCATTTCATTCAGTGACGAGGATGCCGAGGGCATTGTGCAACCTCACAATGATGCATTGGTAATATCCGTACTTATCAATAAATCTCGAGTTAAACATGTGTTGATTTATCCAGATATCTCGGCCAACATCATCAAATCGAGGGCCGTAGAGCAATAAGAGTTACAGGACCAAATAGTGCCTGTAGTCTGGGTGTTGAACGAATTTAACATGGCATGCGAAACCACTAAAGGGGAGATAACCCTGCCAGTAAACACCGCCAGGACAATCCAAGAGACAAAATTCTACGTGATCGAAGGGGACATGAGGTATAACACTTTATTCAGAAGGTCGTGGGTTCACAACATGAGGGCAGTACCCTCGACCTTGCACCAGGCATTGAAATTCCCTATACCATGAGGAGTCAAGGTTGTCTCCGGAGAGTAGCCGGCATAAAGGAGATGTTCGCAGTCGACGAGTTAATCCCGGTGCCCGTAGTTTCCACATCAAGGAACGCGGATCCGTTCGAAGAGGAAGAAATTAAATAGCAATCATTGATACCGGCCTTGGCCGAATCGGAGGAATAAGGAGTAGACGATGAGGATGATTACGGAGTTCTGATATCGTTCATAGCTCTTGATAACACTGACACCACCAAATCGATGATCGAAGAGTTGGAGCAAGTCATATTAATCCAACACATGCCGTATCAAAAGGTATACCTGGGCACGAGGTTAACCCCCGAGGTCAGGAAAAAACTTATTGATTTTCTTAAAGCTGACATAAATTGTTTCGCTTGGTCGCATCTTGACATGGCAGGAATTCCAATGGAGGTATCCACTTATAAGTTGAGTTTGGACCCAATGTTCCACCCGGTTAAGTAGAAGAGGATCCCACACTCTGAGATCAAACATGCATTCATCAAGGATAAAGTATCCAAACTTCTGAAACTAGAATCCATCCGGGAAGTTAAGTACCCGTACTGGTTAGCTAACGTAGTGGTTCTCACATCCCTTTTTTATCCCCAAAAGATATGTATGTTATAGATTGTTGTGGGTTAAAAGACTTTTTTCATTTGAAGTGACAAATTTGAGTGGGAATTATTTTATTTACAGAATCGCCACCTGGGATTGATTTTTTGGTGTTCCAAGTCACCTTTTTTTGAATCCCTAGTCAAAGGAAGGTTTAACTCTATTATTATTGGTCCGCAAAAATAAAATTCGAGTAAGAAATTCTATTGACCGGGGAGAAGGTGTGTAAGGCATTTTCCGAGTCCGGTAGTTCTAGCATGATCGCTTTATTTAATACAACTTGGCTTGAATTAATTTTGGACAAACTGTGATTTATTGATTTTCATGTTTTATATATCCTCTTTTATTGCTTGATTATTTGGAATTATTAAAGGATATTTTAGAATAATAAGAAGTCGTAACCATACTACGCAAGCAAATGCGTGATCGAGACGAAATTTATTAATTTTTGTCATAACAGCGCTACGGAGGCGAATCCATAGTCATGACTAAGGATTATTAGCGCACTATTACTTTTGGAGAAAATCACTACATTCGAGGAAATTAATTTTTGAAATTTAAAAAAAAAAGTCAACTACGGCGCAATGCAAGCGAATCTGCGATTATAATAAGGTATTGATTAAATTAAAAATAAATTAAAGCTAGTAGATAATGTGTGAGATTATTGAATTAATTTATGTTAAATATCACGCTACGCAAGTGAGTTCGTGAAGTTAAAGCGCGCCTATTAATTACCTAACATTTAAATTATTTACTAAGGAAACAAGTTAATTAATTAGTAATAACAAAAATCTTATTATTATTATTATTTTCTATCCTCATTGTTGAGAAAATTATGCAAATAAATATTGGACCAACTCTATCTATTTTAAAGAAGTGGGCCAACTTCTTATTAAAGGAGAAATAGGCCGGCTTATGGATTTTA